GTTTTATTTAAGCAAATGATTTCCTCCAGAAAAACATGCCATCGTTGGCTCGTTGCATTCGCATGTAAAAAAATATTCAAAAATATATGGGAATATATATTGGAGTACTACGACTAGATGGTGTTGTTATTAGGCAAATAACTCCCCCAGAAAAAGAATATGTCCTTGTTGGCTTGTTGCATTCGAATGTAAATGTAGTTTCGACTTCCTTGCCACTTTGGTGCCTTGCAACAAACTCCACTGCCACTTAATGGAGACATTTTTTTTTTGCAAAAGAACTGAAATGAAAATCGTGAGGCGGAATCTTGGCACGGAAGGCACATTCACCGGGTCAGAGAATCCTAAGACATGGAGAACCGGGTTAAACAGAGACCCTCCCTTAATCAGTAATATTGGTAGTAGTAGTAGTACACTGATCATAGTTAGTGGGTGGGCTAATGGCCCGCGCCACCGCTAACCAATGGCCCATCTATAACTGCTCCACCGCTTCGGCAGACCAACAAAACCGACGACAGGGGAGCCGAGAGCGGCAAGCCACTGGACGCTAGCGCTCGCATCTTCCGCTCGCTACCTCTCCGTGCGGCGGGATGAAGCAGCCGGCGGCGAGCCCGGGGCGTGCGGAGAAGCCCCAGCAGCAGCAGCTGCCGGCGCCGCCGGGGCTGGCGCGGCTGCTGCTAAGCAAGAGCCGGCGCGGGGCGCGGTCGCGCCGCGCGCCGGCCACGTCGCCCATGTTCGTGTCCCGGGGCCGGAGCCGCGCGGCGGCGGCGGCGGTGGGGGCGGACGGGGAGCCGTCGTCGCCCAAGGTCACCTGCATTGGACAGGTGCGGATGCGCAAGGGGAAGAAGGGCAGCAACAAGGGGCCGGCGGCGCCGCCCCCGCCACCGGCCAAGGAGGAGAAGGCCAGGGGCTACTGCCGGTGCCTCAAGAAGGCGTTCCTCTGCGGCGGGCTGTTCGACTTCGACCGCAAGCACAAGCGCAAGGGGCCTCCGCCGGAGGCGGAGCGGACTCGCCGGTCGCCCTGGGTGTTCAGCAGCAGGGACGTGGCCGTCGCCGCCGCGCCCAAGCCGCCGGATCCGACGAGCGACCGCGCCGAGGAGGAGGGGGAGGACGACAAGTCCGTGGGGGCCTTCGGCTCGACGGAGAGAGACGAGAAGGCGAGTGACCCGGGGACCGACAGCGGTGGCAAGGAGGAGGAAGAGTGCGAGGAGGGGGAGACGGCGGAGCTCGTGTCGTCCGCGACGACCACGCCGCCCAAGAACGCTCTGCTCCTGATGCGCTGCCGCTCCGCGCCGCAGAACCGCTCGTCCCCGCTCACCTCCAGGTTCGCCGCCGGCGCCGCGCCGTCGCCGGTCCAGGAAGCGGCCGATTTCGCGGTGGAGTCGATCGCCGCGACGCCACCTCGGGCGTCGCCCTCTCCGCGCAAGCCGGACATGGTGTCACCTTGGGCGTCCCCCTCCCCGCGCAAGCCGGACATGCTGTCACCTTGGGCGTCTCCCTCCCGGCGCAAGCCGGACATGTTGCAGTCACCACGGGCGTCGCCATCTCCCCGCAAGCCGGACATGGTGTCCGCGGAAAGCAACGACGAGAAGCGGCAAGAAATGGCAGTATCCACGCAGGAAGACGAGGAAAAGATGGTGGAACAAGAGCACGAAGCCGACGACGACGACGAGGAGGATGACGAAGCGGAAGAGATGAGGTGCTCGTCGGCGCGGCCGCTGGTGCTGCAGAGGTGCAAGTCGGAGCCGGCGACGACCGCGGCGGCGAAGATGGCCGCCGGGGCCGGGGCCGAGGGGGCGCCGTCCGGCTGCTTCTGGGCCAACGGCGGGAGCAGCGGCCGGCGGAGGCACGCGCCGCAGATGTCGCCGGCGGCCGCCGCTCCGGTGGCTTTGACCGGTCACTGAGTCAGTAGGTGGGGACCCCTAGCTGTTTCCCGTATACTAGTAGTATTTTCCTTTTGTTGCTGTCGCTGTCGATTAAATTTAGCACGGTAAAGCTGTAATTCCCCACTCTTTTCTCCATCCATCCATCCATGCCGCTCGGGCGAAGACGATGCCTGTAAAAAGATTTACGTACCTAGTCACGCTGTAAATCTTCTCCTTCTGCCACTAGTACTACTACTACTAGTTGTTTATTTACCACTGTATTATGCAAAGTGTGTAGCCACGATTCGCCTGTTGATCCAACAATCTCTGGTGCGTCTGTGCCAGTACCAGTACAGTACCATACCAATAATGTGGCATAGTGTACATGTACTGCTATACAGAAGGTATACTGTTAAGTACTTTGTAGATTTAACAGTGCCATGAATGAGCTTGTCCGTGCACACCCGCTTCACTCAAGTGTGCGTGCAAACTTTTTACCCCTCACCCACTCCAGCAGCAGATGTACGTGGTAGTAGTACTAGCTAGGAGTTACTGGTGGTAACCGTGCCCATGTTTGGAGGGCTGCAGAAATAACAGGTCCCTGTGCGAAGGAGATTCCGGGCAGCGATCGCTCTCGCGCCCCTGTTTGCAGCAGCCATCTCGTTTTCGTGAGAGCTACAGCGAGCTCCTCGTAGTTGCAGGGCGGAAGAATCCGTGACCGCGACGCTTCTGATCCAATCCGAGCCACGTTATCTTACACTACATTACACGAGAAGCCTGTGCTCTGAGGTCTGAACCAACCACGGTAAGAAAAGAAAAAAAAATGGATCAGAGGAATTGATGAGAGGTTTGACTTGGGAACATGGCTTGAGAGCCGACTAAACACTCATGATGCAGCGGAGCGACCGACCGTGCGTCGTGCACACGTGCGTGGGAGGGCGCACTAGTTGACCTGCAGAACACTGCAGGTCAGTGAGTGTGTATGCATGAGAGGGCATAAATAGTTTACCTTTTGTTTTAGATTATTCTGTATCGTACTAGTGTGCTCCAGTGTGGCGGCACGAGAGGCGGCAAGTCTCGTGGATGTCATCTCGAGATCTACGAGTGCTGTTTCACGATGATCGGGTTTTCTTTGGAAACAGCGGCTTTGCCCCAAACTAGCACCATCCAGCACCAGCTGCTGATGCTTGCTGGCTAGTAGGCTCCCAGCAATCAGCACAGAACAATCCCATGGGAGACCTGCAGCACAGCACTAGTAGCATTACTCGACTTGTCTTGGCCTCTTGTCTCTCTGTCCTGTTCATCATATTGTTGCTTTAGACTGGATGTTTTTACGGTGTACTGAGCCTGTCGTTGCAACGTTGGTGGGGGTGCCAATTGTGCATCAACACCAATCTCCATACATCACAAGGCAAGGAGGGCACACAAATTTTGGCAACGCACGTACCGCCCATCGTGGTCCGATGACAGGAGCGAGCACTGTTAGACAAAGACCAATTTACATCTTACCACAGGTCACAGGTGATGAGTCGACGCAAGTATATGCACGAAACCGCAGTGGAGTACAGGATATCACAGCAGGCAGGTTTACATTTTTAACAAAGCAAACTGGTTAATGCACAGGCCTGCTCCTGAGTTGGCGATGGAACATCGGTTGCCTTGTTGGCATGAGTTAATCAATCAACCCGCTGAAGCACGCAAGCCACAACTCTTTGGCTCAACTGAGGTTATGCCTGCATGAGAACTCCGAAGAAATACAACACCTGGCAGGCACTTCTCATGCTTGGCAAAGCACAGATAAATCAACAGCAGCAAGTAACACTGAAGGGCTCTGTTTATTGACCGCCACTTCAGAAATAATAATTTATTCTCCATCGAACATCAAGGTAACGAACATCTAAATTAGCGCCTCAAACCCTAAATACAATGATGGTTACACACAAACATCCACATGTATAGACTTGCATCCAGGGTGGCCTCCCTATTCCCTTATGTTCAGTAAAGAAGGTCAAAAAATGTACAAACTGCTCCAGTAGCAACATTATCCTTGATCCCCAGTCAGAAAATTTTCTATACCAACCTAGCAGGAATAGAAATACATTAGTGACCTCTAATAATTACATGAACAGGTAAATAAATATATGGATGAACTCGTGTTAAATGATTTAGTTGAAAAACTCCATGTCATGGTAAATAATTTAGTTTAAAAAACTTCATGAATTCCTGTGCTATTTTACCCTATGGCTTCACCAGTAGATCCTCAACAATACATTAGCATAACAAAGAAGAGAGGTTCTTGTTATATAGAATGTTCAAATCATACTGCTTAGATGTGATCAGATTAATTACTGCTTATTTGAGATTTGAATTACTGCCCATAAATTATACAGCTTAGATGATGATGAAGCATCTGTCACAAAACTGTATACAGTTTGCCACTCGGTGAAATATTAGCTTTCTTAGACAATACAAGATTGGAAAAAAAACTGGCTACGTCTTCCGCTAGCCAATCTACCAGCTAAGTTTCAAAAAAGAAGGGAATAAAACCTAACAGGCTAACTAATGGAAGTTCAGAAGCAAACCGAAGCATAAAGAATCTTTAGAAGAGCATATTTATCTGCTTCATTTTGCACAACTAACAAGAATTGGCAGCAGACTTTTTGTTCTACTTATCATGCTTTACTTTGGAACTAACAAGAATTGGCAGCAGACTTTGATTCTACTTATCATGCTTTACTTTGTAACTTCTACTTTCTATTTGGACTACGTTGCATTCCATTCTCAAGTCAGAGATGCAAAAATATCTTCCATGCCATGTCTTTTTCTTCTAAAAACATGCCTAGTTACAAAGTAACCACTTGAATCCCACAGAAATAAAGTGCAAGGACTGCCTGTCGAAAGAAGTTGGACACTGCAGAAATAGATGATTGATTCGTTAAGCTCACCATCAGAGTCCTCTGTGCAGATCCCCATGGAACACTTGGAGTTTGTCGACCAGGTGAGGCAACACAGCATCTATGTTTGTGTTTCTCTTACATCAACCAGAAGAAACCTAATAACCTCGGTAAAAATCAGGATTTCTGGAAGGCAGCCTTGCCAAATTAATGCAAACTCAGCTATCCCATTTAAATGTCCAATCTACTCAGAGTCAGAATCTATTGATAAACAAAGTCGAGGCCTGACCGACCGAGACCGAGGCTGGCGAGGATGAGAAAATATATTTTCAATCCTTATTGGATTTAAATTAGCTCCGTCATCTCTGTCATTGTTTGTGCTTGGAAGCACAGAAGCTGCAAAATTAGGGGAAAATAATTATGCCAGTACCACAAGGGAATTTAAACAATTGAATTAATCTGCTGATAAATACAAGATGATACAGGTGGGTACACAGAGCAACAAATATTAGCAGGCAAAAGGTCGGAAGATTAAAAATCTCAAAATCCAGTTCAATTCATGATACAAAAGGTTTAAATGGAGTGAAACTTGTTTCTTTACAACCCTGATCAACATCCAACTGATATTTTCCTATCGGATGAACACTGCAGATCACTTTTCCCTACTAACCATCTGT